CTTTATATTATTTGAGAATTACACCTTCCTAATCAAGTCACTTATTTTATTCGTTGAAGTTTATTTATGGTGTTAGAGAACAGGATTTATACATCCTGACAATATTATAGGACGATATGCGATCATAAATAAACTAATTGGCCCCAGTTTCTCACGGGTGGTTTCAGGATATCGACAACAGCGTCACCTACAGTTCTCAAATGTGAATCTAAATCATCTAGGGATCCATTCTAACACAAAAAATCATCAAAATAGGTCGAGCCGTATTTAAGTTTTAGCGAATATTGACTAACCGACACGATTGATATATATATATATATAAATATATATATATATATACTTGAACATATATATATATATATATATAAGTTCAAGAAATCCTACAATTAACTTTACACACTTTTTCACAAGCAATGTATAAGTAATAAAATAAATTACTGTGTATTTAAACTGCTTTTAAAATTAACGCTTTTCGTGTAGTTCTATGAAATACAAAATACATTTTTCAGTACATGGGTTGATCACGCGATGTTCTGCACCGAGCAGCCAGGCATCGCCTTATAAACAACCCATCAACTGCACTCACAGCTTTCCATCAACTATTTTTCCCTGTCTTCATATTAAATTTTGTTACTAATCAATAAATTGGTAGAATTCAACTGCTCGACGGGTCTCGACTCGCTCAGTCTCATTAATAATACAGTGATAATTTATAGATATTCAACTTCATACCACAGTTTCAGTATGTTGAATACACTGTACTTTTTTATAAGTGTTGGGTTGTAAAGGTAGTTACCTCGTTTGAGTTCAGACAGGTGAATGGTTTTAAAGCTATTAAGGAAATGCACCAAAACGGCGGCAGTGACTAGGCGTCGGTGGAAATATACAATCAATAGCACCTATGGTCTCACGATAGAAGTTGAATCGTTACAGTTTACGAATGCGGTTAACTGTTGACGAGGGTTGCACGTGTTTGGTTACTACCAACTCATTACCTTGTTAACTGTTCGTAGGTTGCACACATCGTTGGAAATAAATCAACGAGAATTTGATACAAAATGGTCTTTTTTTATTGAAGCGACAAAACGCTAGATACTAATAACTTACTAGAGATCGTCCAGTGGTCGAGATTCGACCATAATTCATTTTAATGCATATATTCATCATATTAATGCGCAATTGAATTTAAGTTTGTGATATGCTTTGTCGATAACTTAAATTCAATTGCGCATTAATATTTAAAACACAAATTTCTAATAAACAAAATATAAAATAAACGATTTTATGCCTTGGCACACATACATTCCACAGACCGTATAACACGGGCCGCCGACATACTGTAGTTGCTCCTGTGTTGCTCTATGCCATAGACTACTGAAAAAGGAATGCTTGAAATCACAAAATTCAAAGTCCGTTCAATCGTCAATCAGTATATACTAGGTTGATCAATAAATATTTGGAAACGCAATGAAACTCTAGGATTATCATATTTTAAGGTAATACACCTTGAATACCGTTCTGCAAGTTGATTAGTGGAAAAAAGGCTTGGTCCTGGGACTAGAAAAAGACTTTTACACACATATCGTCGCCGTCGAATTTTATACCACGCTAGTGCTTTTTCAGATGAGAGTAAGAAGGTCAATATCACTCGGATCTAGGTCCGGAGAATATGTTGAGTGCTGCATCAACTGAAAGCTAGCAGTTCGGATAGCAGCGCCTGAAAGATCAAATTGATGGGCAGGGGCATCGTCATGATGAAAAAGTATTTCAGCACGCAATTTTCCCCGACATTTATTCTTTCCTTCATCGCGTAATTTTTTGATCAATGCCGCGTAATAATCTTCGGTTATTATCTCTCCTTTACTTAAACAGTCGATCATAATTATACCTTCCGCATTCCAGAAGACAGAGGCCATTAATTTTTCAGAGGACGCAGACACCTTTAATCTCTTGGCTGGCAAGGAAGACGGTCTTTTCCACACACAGAGAACTTAATATAGCTAGATATTAGGTGTTCTGTGTTTCCACACCTTGTTTTAGTTTTTCGTCTCCGAGTCAAAATGATGTACTCACGTTTTGTCTACGGTTACGGAACAAGCGCAAAAAGAATCTGGATGAAATTCAATAATGTCAACTCTTGCTTTCTTTGGGCGTCTGTTAACATTCGAGAATCCCAGCACGGGCCGCGCCTTTTTGAATTTTAAATTATATGTAAAAATAAACTGATTTATCCCAAACGAAAGCTTTATAATTTCAGCTAATTAACGTATGGTCACACGTTGGACCTACTCTAACAATTTTTTCGATTTTTTAACGTTTTCTTGCGTAGCGGTCAATGTTAGCTTCCCAGAGCAAGTGTAATCATTGCAGGCGGTTCTGTCGAGTATATAATCTGCTCACAAGTATGCCACAGTTCTTCAAAAATACTTTATGTAGATTTTTTTTCAGACAGTAATATATAATAATGGCATGAAGTTCTAGTTTCTCTATTTTGTATATGAATGTAAATTTTGAAAAAAATAATTGGGTAAAGATTTAAAACAAAATTCTGGCCTTGGACAGTAACGAATTTAAAATTCAAAGAAAAGGATACATTTCTATAACTCATTGATGAATATCCTATTCCGAAAACGTTTTGATTGGTTTTGATCAAAGATATTTTATAGGTCTTGATAAACTTAGTATTTGTTGGCAACTTTTAAAAATTCACAAGAATCTATTTTACCACACAATATTATTTATTTGATATTGGCATTATGAACGTCAAAAATTTATCTTTTATTTTATTTGATTTAATGTATTTATAACACATGTTGTGCATATTTTATTTCTGCACTCCTCCCGATAAACTTTATGCCAAATCTCACACTCCAGGGTACAAAGTTTTCCCTTCACGTTTTCACCTTAGCTTTTTAATTGATATTGTATATAGATCAGGGATTTATTTATTTATATTTTTGTCATACTTACTCTTTTAATAATTATGACAGTCCATGATTTCTACTAATCTTGATGTATCATTTTTATAATATGGCATGTAAAAAACTCACTCTCCAGGATGTTGCAATTAACAAAATTCATTACATTATATTACTGCGTGGCATTACATAGCAGCGTAAATATAAATAACAGTATAATATTGATACGTTTCGTATAGGAAGGAACTAGTACTGAATTCAAATTTAACTGTTATCGAGAGATTCTATGTTAATCCGCAGGGGTGACAACGTTTTTGTATTTTAAATGGAGGATAGACATAGGTGTCTATAGACTATAGCACCCACTTACCATCAGGTGGAGTGGCCTGTTCGTTTGTCACTTTTATGTGTATAATAAACGTTGTTGTAGTCCCTCTCTCTTCTCAAGATAATTCTGAAAAGTTCAGGTGATTAGGTTAGGTTAGGTGAGGTACATGTGTACCTTCGATAGTGTTAATCACCTGAACTTTGCAGCGCAACCAGTGCAGTTTTATATTAATATCTATTTGAATAAAAAACTGCGCTTGCCATTCCCCCGTGCCAAGATTAGTAACTATGCTGGAGGTTTATGTTCAATGGTGAAATTAAGTGGAATGGCTTGTGTTTTATTTATTATATATATATATATGATATTATTTAATTCCGTTTCTAATTTTTTTTATTGGAAAGGCAAATAGGCGATAGGTTCATCTGATGGTAAGTGATCACCGTTGCCCATGAAGATTTACAACGTCAGAGAAACTGCAGTTCCTGAATCCGAGTGCACTTTTAAGCAAAGTAAATTTACCATAAAGAAAATTACTCCGTCCACATCGTGCATCTGGATTACGAATATTCTTATAAGTATTTTTGCTTTCTAATTGGAGTAAATTTAAAAACAAACATAAATTCGAAATTAATTTTCTCCTAGATCTTCATTTAAGCAATCTGTGGTGGACTTTAAGTCAAAAAATTAAGTTTGTATTCATAATTTTTTTTTAAGTACTCAGTAAATAAGTAATTAGGTTCGTTTTATAAATTTCGTACATATCTAAAATTTTTGTATTTTATGTAATTGAAGTGACAAATCAACTCAATCCTGTCAGCCTGTGAATATACTGGCTCTTTTTATCCTTTTGATCTAAACACAGCAGTGCACCTATAGCTGCTCTACGACTGAAGTAGATAAGAGGGTGTTTGAGATCGTCTACTTACAAATTGCATGCGCTTCTTTTGTAGCTTTGATCGATTTTGTTATTTTTGTTGGGATTAGGGTGATAAACGAGCACACAGGCCACCTGATATTAAGTGGTTGCTGTAGCGTAGACATTTTCAGTCTATCCTCGATTAAGAATCGAAATCCAGATGCGTTGTCACTCGTGCCAAGATGGAAGCCTCGTTTCCAGTAAAAAAGGTCACCGGATCTCTACACTCACCATACAAAACACAGCAGTATTATGCTGCTATTTTACGCTGGTATTCCGTGAGAGCGTGGTTCTTCCCCGGTCGAGCCGACCCGTTCATGCTACTCGTACAACCATAATATAGCTGCAGCGTGGCTCTACCACGTATTTACATCTATCCTCGATTAAGAATCAACATGCAGATGTGTTCTCACCCGTGAGGACTAAGAAGGAATGCCTCGTTTCCAGTAAAAAAAGTCTCTGGTTCTCTACACTTTTTCACTTTTTATTTTTAGTATATTTGTCGTGACATAACTGATAACATCTACCAAAAAATAAAAGGGATGCAAACTGACTAGACAGATAAGGAGTCGTAACATCTTGTGAATAGAAGTCATAGTTCTTAAATCTTTTGAACTGCATGTTTGACACGATAAGTCATTAGGTGTGTAATACGTAAGTACATTATACATAATATAATGGTTGTGAGTCAAAGTGTGTACAAGGGTGTTTCTTTCCCATAAAGCCGTCGTCGGCGCGGGTGCGAGATCGCGCGTTGCGCTGTGCGCTGCACTACTGCGCGTCGAGCGGCGCGTCAGTGCGGGCTGCGTCGCGCGCGGCCTGCGCTGATCGTGTGCTGATGGCGGCGCCTGCTCTAGCCGACGCACGCGATGCTGACGGCCTCACGCCGCTCCATCTTGCCGTTGTTCACGGCAATGTGCCCCTAGTGCAGACGTTGCTCGCCGCCGGTGCGGATGTAAACGCACGCGATAACGAGCACCATACCGTCGTGCATTGGGCCACCGGTAAGCGTTTTATTATCTTCATACCAGTGCAGTTCTTCACGACCGAACAGGGGCGATTGTCGATTCTCTTTACAAGTTCTCAATCAGAAGAGATCTTTGTCAATGTCCTTTGGCACGGTCACAGGCTCAAGGGCAAAGCCGCCCGCGCCTTCAAGTCTCATTTCATTTACCTTTGGTTAGCCAAAGCGTGACATCACGTCGCCGTCGTATTGTTTATGTTTCCACGTGTGTATCGTAAGCATGTACCCAATACTCTAATGTCGAGTGTCTGATATTGTCGAGCCAATTCGGTGATATATGCATAGGTCGCGGTTGACCAGTGAACTGGCCGGCGAGATCACCAGACCTAACACCTCTAGAGTTTTATTTGTGGGCTGAAATAATACGATTAGTGTACTCAGAAGAAGCACAAAATGTTAGTGATTTAAAATAGCGTATAATAGATTTATTTAATGTGATAAAAAGGGATAGAGACACGCTTCGAAGTTTAACAAACAATTTACAAAAACGTGCTAGTTTGTATTCGAAAGAAACTGTAGACATTTTGAACAATTACTGCGTTACCGCTAAAAAGTAATTCTTATTTGTAAGTAATAATAATGTAGTATAATTTTGTAGATATCAATCAGTGTAGTTTGTAAATTGAAATATACATACTTTACTTACATGCATCTTTAATAAATTAAGAAAAGTTTTATTATTACAGCTGCTGTTTTTTAAATAATTTTAAGATTACTTTAAAGTACACTCCGAACCAAGAAGTTTTAATTAAAACTACTATACAACATTCATATATTATATCCTATTCCTATACATACCTTTGACCATTTGTGAAAATTTGTGTGTATTTAAAATACTTAAAAAAATTGACGTATTTACCAAAAATTTTTTACGTCTACTGTTGGGCTATGGCAATGAATCTAAAGAAAGATGCACAACTTAAGCTACTTATTCACGATCCGGTCATGCACGACTACAGAACCAATTACTCTCTACCGAGAGTCGACAACGCACGACGCAAAACGATAAGTGACGTGCGTCAATAATTACGTACTACGTCAAGCCCTGTCAAGCCATTAGTGTAACTACGTAACTATAATACAATACTAGCGTGCCAGGTAGACGTTGTTCTGCCCTTTTCAGCGACCCTTTGTCATGTCCTAATAAAATCCTTATATTTGCAAAAAAATAAAGAAATTGTGGGTCACTCATGGGCAAAAAAACTATCCGATCTCTCACGTTAGACCAAACTGCACACGGTATGCGAATTTGATTAAAATCGGTTAAGTAGTTTAGTCCATCGCGGACAATCAACGTGACACGTAATTTATATATATACAATATGTAACGTAATTAACGCACACCCTCAGACACCCCAATTAGTATATTATGTTATATTCATAATACATATACTGAATTTTTAGTTAAACATTTTTATGCAATGTTGTGGTCACAGTACAAATCCACGAATGCAAAGACTTTAACGTGCTTGAAATAAAGTTCATTTTTCTTTATTTTTATTGAATGACAGAATTAGTAATATTACAAATAAAACTACACTCTTAAGCGCCCTCCACATTCACGCAGTGAACACCCGTGAAAGGCGTGAACCGCCAATGTGGATGGCTTTCGCGCCTGTTTACGGGCTTCGCGTCTTTTCACGCCTTGTTCCCCGTTCATTGTCGGTATTTTGTGACCGCTTCAAAGGGTTTACGAGGTGTGAACCTCCCGTGAACGCAAGCGCATCCACACTCGCGCATGAAATCAGTAACGCTCGGGACTCGTTGTTGTGAGGTTGTGCTTATTTGTATTTTTTTACGGAGGACGGTGCGCCAAAATGAGCGTCAGTTGGACGAACGAGCAGGAACTCTTGTTGATCGAGTGTTATCATTCCGAACCCATTGTATAGGATACTAAACACAAAGATCACTAATAAAGGAAATAATGAATATTATTTTGTTTTATTTTATAGGATAGGGTGACAAACGAGCACAAACTGATGGTATGTGGATGCTGTGGCCCATAGACATCTACATCTATCCTAGATTACGAATCAAAATGCAGATATATTGTCACCCGTGAGGTCTAGGATGGAATGCCTCGTTTCCAGTAAAAGGGGTCTCCGGTTCTCTACACTCACCATACGAAACACAGCAGCATTAAGCTACTATTTTACGTTTGTATGCTGCAAGAGCGTAGTCCTTCCCCAGTCGAGCCGACCCATTCGTGCTACAACTGTACTACTAATATGACTGCAGCATGGCTTTGCCACGAAAAGCGTTGAAGTGACTGAGTGAAAAAAAAAAGAAAGTCTAATGTCCAGTTACAGAATAAGAAAAAGGTGAAGGATTCTGAAAGGAAGTCTGGAGCTAGCAGCGACAAAATTTTGACTGTACAGATTTAGTGTGACTATAATTTACGTAGTTTCAATTATTTTTGGGATAAAAAATTACCTATATTAAAAATGATCGGAATCGATTCAGTAAACGATTCTGAACGAACTACTTTCTCAAAGTGCCTTAATTATGTTACGTGTTATGTACCATATATATATATATATATATATAAAAAAAAATATATATATATATATATATATATATATTAAGATGATGCACAACAAAGACTAATTTATAACGTTATAACTAATTTCGGCACGATACCACAGAATAAATAAACGACGCCCATAAAAATTAAAGGCAGTCTTATTTTGTTCATCATATCATTTCTTTTTGTTTAGATGAATAATTATTAATGTGACTGAGCTATTATGTCATATATGTTATCAACCCAAAAGTTTCTAAACTTTTTTAATTCATAAAAATAGCTATAATTTCTAAATTAATTTCCTTGATTCGACCTGCCAAAGTTAGTCACGCGAGGTTGATTCTTAAAGGCTATTTATTTGTGACTATAAAACAGTCGTAATGTTAGCCGCAATCACGATAGCCATACTCCATATGCCAGTCGAACAATAAAGGCAAATAATATCATACTAAAGAATTTTTCGACCAGTTAGATGTAAAGTCGGTGAGTATGTCTATATAAAGAACCATTTTAGATTGCGAAAAGTACTCTACTCTCTCTGGAAAGGCCCCTATAAAATAGTTAAGGTAAATAATAATAAAACACTTACCTTACTAATCAATCGGCGCCATATCACGTATCACTTCGATCAGGTGAAACCTGCATCGGATGTCGGACTAGCCTATAAAACACATATATATCGGACACAGCCTATAGAAGTCCACTGCTGAACTTATGCCTCCCCCATAGATTGTCTTAGAGGGGGATTTTTCCGTAGTTGATACTCTTGTCTAGCGGGTTGTCAATAGCGGTTTTTTAGTGCGCATCACCTGTTACAATTTCCCTCTGTCACTTTTTATGACACCCTCGAGACGATATGGGGTAGTGGATATTTTTACAGCGCTTATTCGTCACTTCAGTTCAATGTCTGTTGGATTTTTTGCTATGAAACTTAATCGTTTTTAAATTACAAAACGTTTTTATTATAGGATAGGGTAACAAACGAGCGCACAGTCCACCTGATGGTAAGAGGAATGCCTCGTTTTCAGTAAAAAGGGTCTCCGGTTCTCTACACTCACTATACGAAATACAGCAGTAATAAGCTACTATTTTATGCTGGTATTCTGTGATAGCGTGGCTCTAACTAATATAACTGCAGCATTGCTGTAACACGTAAGTATTTCCTACGTGATTAATTTATAGATTAAGGTTTAAACTATTAAAAATCATTATAAAATAACTACCAATAAACCACGTTTCATAATAAGACCAAATGAAAATAATCTAATGTAGGTGTTACAAGGATATTAATTATCTAAAAGTTTAAAACAAGATTAAAGTCATTGGTATCCCAGGACGATCCATCTTAGCACTGGGCTTTGATCTATCATCGTAACTTTTTAGAGAAATAAATCAGAGAAAAAAAATCGGAGACACATGTGAAGCCTGCTAACACGCATCGAGTATTTCCTTACCTTGAAATCCTCTAGTTTTAATATATCGGACAAAATAATTGAAAGAAACAGTGATCTATGGTAGTTAAAAACATGCAAACTAGGTGCACACTTAAAGACTTTAATGTTTTCTATGCATATAAATTTTATATCATTACTTCTGCAATTATTTCAATTTTATTAATCAAAAGTTAATGGATAAATTCTAATATTTTAGTCTGTTTTCAAATTGGATGTGATAAGTAAGTAAATATTAAAATATTAAAGGAAATAAAATATTATCAATTTCATTAGATCCATATTAGCTAGAAACAATTATTATAATAAAATTATTATTTAATTTTAAAGTTAAAGTACAGCCTATATACGTCCCTCTGGGCAGAGGCCTCCTCTCATTTATGAGAGGATTTTAAGGCAAGAAAATGTCCGCCGCGCTGCCCTTATGGGTGTTGGCAAACTTCATATGACTTTGAAATATTTTTTTCGTATTTCTCAAACAACTATGTTTCCTCACGATGTTTTTCTATACCGCCGTGAACGTGGCTAAATCAGCACTTTTAAATTGCAATTAACAATTTCATTTTGTGCCAGCGAGGATCGAACCCAGTTTACTCGCGTACTGTGAAATATACAGCGAGCGCTAACCTTATGAACTAACACGGCTCTCATATTTACTTCGCATTTATATTAATTTTTACACTAAAGAATTCGTGGAATTTATTTATTAAAGTAGATTATTCATTTCACTAAGCAATAGAATATTTTAGGAAAGGATAAGAAAAAATATTTTAATTGCGCTATATCAGATCACCTCAAAGCCGTTATGTAACGATATCAACTGGATTAAGTTGTTATCGAGCTGGTGTCACTCAGTGGCGCGACTTGGTGCCTAGCTCCTACCACATTCAGAGTTGCTCGCACGCCACCAATTAGTTATCCACACACCATACACTACGGCATTTCTTGCTGACTTTTACTAATCTTTAACGACTCGGTTTTTGAATTCCCACAACGTTTTGATCA